GCTCCCCAGCTACTCCGCGTACTACAGTTGTACTACAAAGTCACCAGTGCTCATCTCCCAGCTCCCCAGATACTCCACACCTCTCGCCTGCATTTCGCGCACTCGACGCGCACGATCTCCGCAGAGGGTTGCGCAGGCATCCGCCAAATCGCACTCTCGCCTGTATTTCGCGCACTCGACACGCACGATCTCCGCAGAGGGTTGCGCGCACACCCGGCAAATCGCACTCTCGCCTGCATTTCGCGCACTCGACACGAACGATCTCCGCAGAGGGTCGCGCGCACACCCGGCAAATCGCACTCTCGCCTGCATTTCGCGCACTCGACACGCACGATCTCCGCAGAGGGTTGCGCGCGCAGCCGGCACATCGCACTCTCGCCTGCATTTCGCGCACTCGACACGCACGATCTCCGCAGAGGGTTGCGCGCGCAGCCGGCGAATCGCACTCTCGCCTGCATTTCGCGCACTCGACACGCCCGATCTCCGCAGAGGGTTGCGCGCGCACCGGACAAATCGCACTCTCGCCTGCATTTCGCGCACTCGACACGCACGATCTCCGCAGAGGGTTGCACTTTCGGTTGACGCTGTTCGTCCCGCACTCCGCCTTTAAGAGAGAATTTATAAAGTGGGGACATGTTTTTTCATTAGGACATCTCCCGTGCTAGTTTTCCATACTCACACTTGCCTACTCATTGCATGCTTGTATACTCATTGCGTGCTTGCATACTCACGCTTGCATATCATGCTTGCATACTTACCCTTGCATATCATGCTTGCATACTTACACTTGCATACTTTGACACTGGCATACTTCGCACTTGGATGCTTTCGCTCTTCCAGTGTGTGTGTGTAAGTGTAAGTGTCGAAGTGTAAGTGTTCAAAGGATTTTCCGGAAGAACCCTTCGCAATGCTTTCGGGAAAAAGGGATGACCTTGCCCAGACAGCACCAAATGCATGTCTATGAAAATCACAACACCTCCCCCTCCCCCCCAAAAAAAGAGAATCATTCCAACAAAACCAGTTGTTGGGCAAGGCCACGGCGCGCGGTGACGCGACCACCCACATGGACCATGTACGTCATCCGGCCGCTTTGGCCGGGGACGTCGGGACCAGGTGGCCGCGCTGCGGAGCGCCATCGACCGGCGCGAGGCGGCGGTGTTGGCGGAGGCGCTCACCGTGGCGCGGAGGCCGGGCGTGACCGGCGGCGGGTCGGGAGGAAACGGGTTGGACCGGGGGGAGCGGGTTGAAGCGGTTTGGGAAAGGGGAAGTGGTGGTTGAAGCGGCGGTTTTGAGAACTGGAGCGTGACTGGAGAGTGGAGCATGGGTGATGATGATGCGTGTCAACTCTGAGTGAGTGTGCCTTTTGGGGTGCTATCTTAGTTTTCAAAACGTTCTCAAATGACATTTTCGTGTGGCATTCAGTTCCTAAATCTCTATGCCAGATTCGCCTGGGGAGCAGAGATGGTTCAATCCGCGTTCGAAGCGTCAGGGGTGAGGGCTGCAGAAGGTGCAAGAAGGGCTCCGACTGGCCCCGGGCTCTGCTCCGACTGGAGTTTCTAAATTGGGGGTTTTCTTCCTCAGCCTCCGCTCTCCATCGCAATGGCCAGTCAAAGGGGGGGAAGCCACGGCTCGTTTGTCGGTGCTTCGCAAGATTGGAGCCTAGTTTGGTCGACATGGTGACATGGTGGTTTGACTTCTGGGATCTTTGAGGATTTGCGCATGCATGAATCACACCATGATGATGATGATGATGATGATGATGATGATGATGGTCTAACCCGAAGAACTGATGGCAGAAGATGCCCAAAGTCTTGAAACATCCCTGTGCCAGAAACCTCTATAAAATCTAGGGGGGTCATGGTATGGCATAAAACGTTTTATGAGATGGTCCCCTGAGGGGGTTAGGGGATTATTCACGTCGCTTCGCGACGGTAACCGCCCGCACCGGAGGGGAGAGGACAATACATCCAGCGAGTCCCAGAAGGAAGTCCGAGGTGCTTGTGCTCTTGGAGCCAAGGGAGTGAGCATAGCGTCCATACGGCTCTCCCTTAACGTGGCTGAACATAGCTTCCATATGCAAAGATAAGGTCCAACTGGAGCAGAGAGAAGCAGAGTCATCAGGGGAAGGGATGACGTGGTATGCGATGGTTCAAGGGCCTTTTTAAGTAATTGTGGCTGCTGAAGGGCCGCCACCCTGGAGGTATCACGATGGGACGGTTGACCTTGGCAATGTCCTTTCCTTTTCAAACAAGCCTGGGCTCAAAGACCGCAGCCATTTAGGGACCGATGCTGCAGAGCCGGTTAAGGATCTGTAGGCGGGAGGTGTTTGCAGTATGAAACGAACATGGCAGATGATGACATGGTGATCCAGGTAGGGTTCGCTGTCCTTCTCAAACAAGCTTGGGCTCAAAGACTGCAGCCATTTTAGGACGGCTTTCGTCAAGGCAGGGAATGGTCCATTTTTTGAAACATAGGCAGAGTGCTGCAGAAGGGTCGCCACGACCATCAGAAACGGGTTCTTGCGCCGCAGCCATTTGGGTGTGGGGTGACGCTGTGATGCAAGAAGTTGTGCTTATGTCGAGAGGCATGGATTGTTTCGGTTGAAGACGTGAAGTGTGGCACGAAAACGGGGGATGGCCGGCGTCTTTGTGCCGCAGGCATTTTGTGCTTGTTGCTGGCAGCAGTAGTCATGTTTTCGAGGCAGTTGCTGTGGATACGGCAGAAGGCGAGAGGTGTAGAGGCAGAAGACCAGCGAGATGCATGCAGCGAATGATGCAGTTGGGCTTCACAGCTGAGGTAGAGGGTAAGGCAAGAGAAAAAGAAGCTTTCCATGTAGGGCAACAGTATCATTCAAGTATCGGAGGGAAAGACAAAGACAACAACATACATGAATTTTTCAAGGGAGTGCTGACGAAGGAACTTGTGCTCTTGGAGCCGAGTGAAATTTTGTATCAGCTGACGCAGGAACTTGTGCTCTTGGAGCCGAGTGATTGTGTTCGGGTAGCGCGAAGCGATGGCGACATTGGTGGCATACAATCACCGGGTGGGCAGTGTGCCTCTACAAGACCTGTTTCCTGGTTTTGCCTTTTCAGAGCTCCGGACTCTCTATGTGAGGCTGCGTGAGGGCCCAGTAGAGCGGCAAGATGTGGCTATGTCCGTGCGTGTCTGTCGGGTGGATCGTTTCATCGAAACGATTCGGGAACCACAGCTCGTGAGTGACGGCTATGTCGCTGCCGTGTGTTTGGGTGAAGTTGCACTTCCGGAAGATGGGCAGGAATGCGCTAGCCTGATTGGGCGGCATGACCTTCTGTTGGCGAAGATAAAGGAGGCGGGGCAGTTCGCTGCAGAGAATCGTGTGCCGGGGGTCAATCGGCAGCATGTGCGGAGGCTGGAGGCCGCTGCAAAGTTTCTGCGTGAGATGAGGAGTTTGGAGCCAGGGCTTTTGACATTGACAGAAAACCCAGTGTTTAGAGTGTCTATAGCAGAATTTTTGGGCCCGGCGGAGGGGCCAGCGGAAAGAACGAACTTGGCAACCTGGATTACCAGTGTGCGTCGGGTGCAGACCAGCTGGATTCCTATGGGTGGCGTGCGGACTTCACCTCAAAGGATGGCGACACTCCTTCTGGGGCAGTTGCAGAAAAAGCTGCAGCAGACAATCCGGGAGTCGGAAGATGTGGGGGGCCCGTATCCAGCAGTCGTTCGGGATACGGTGAAGCCGAAACGCAGTGGTGTGGAGGTCACCCGCCTTTTGTTGATGAGCGAAGAGCGAAACCGAGACTGGAAACTGAAGATGATTTGGGTTTGTGCAATGGACCAGGTGCGCGCCTGGATTGAGACGCCAGAGAGTGATTTGTACCAACGAGGCAGTGTGCACTTGGTGTCGAACGTGGGCAATTTTCGGCAAGACCAGGTTTCTTTGCAACCTGTGGTGAACTTGGAGCGGGGGTCGCAGGTGGTGGTGGTGATCTTGGCAGACATCCACGAGTTCATCCACATGTACGAGGCATTGGTGAGGTTGAGACCAATGCTGGAAGGAGATGTTGGTAGTTTAGCTGCAACGTCAAGTGAGGGTTTGGCAGGCTTGCGAGCCAATGCTTTCAATGCTTGGCTGGGTCTAAACCAGCCAGTGACTTTTGTCCGCAGCTCGGTCTGGGATCGTTATTTGGGACTCCAGCGGTATGAATTTCTGCAAGGGGTAGCGGCGGAGCTGGGGATTGAGGGCTTCTCCGCAGATCAATGTCGGGTGCTGTCCGAGATCGAGGGAGCAGTCACGGTGGTGTCTAGCTTTGCTGGTGGGGGCAAAACAACCTTGCTGGCCGCTGTCACCGTGCAGCTGACAAGCAGCCGAAATCAAGATCCTCCGCTGGTGGTGTTCAATGCTCCTGCCCTGAAAACAGTGCAAGGCTTCGCAGAGCGACTGGAGAAGATCGGAGTGAGGGTTCTGGTGCTTGGAGTGGAGAAGGAGGGAGAAGTAGATCTGTTTGAAGAGAGATGCGCGGCCATTGCCACGGAAGTGTTTGAGAGACACCAAGAATTCTATGATGCAGTTGATGAACTCTTGACATTGGTACCAGCGGATCGTTTGGACGTGATCAGCATCGTGTTGGGATGGCGTTTCATTCACCTGCAGAATGTTGTGTACGATGCAATGCAATTGGAACAGCAAAGGCATCTGGATGCAGTTCAGTGTGTGGCCTGCACCACCTCCTTTATGAGCAAAATGGCTGGCAACGGCGGTTGGGAGAGACGTTTCCGTGGACGTCGCAGGCAGGCGGTAAGGAACGGGATAAGGTGGTTTGAAGTAGGTGCTTGTTGTTGTTGTCCGTCGCAGTCGATCAAGAAAGAAGCGGAGGTTGGTTTATCTCATGGACGAGTACATGGGCGAATCTTTTGAACGCACTGCGATCAATTGCATTCCTTTCGAACGCATGCTGTTAGTTGGTGTCTCGGCTTATGTAAAGTGCATGAGACCGACGCGGGAGAGGGAGCCGTTGGCCCAGCTTTTAGGGCTATGTTCGGTAAGATGAGCATTTTGGCAGTGTTAACGACGTTTGCGTATTCATTTCCTGGACACGATCTTCAGATGGGACTATGTTAGACAATATCTTGGCTCTACTCCAGTCTTTTTCAATCGTAGGTCCGATTGGTGTCCGGAGTATCGTTCTTGTGCTCTTGGAGCCAAGGGGTACAGTATGAAAGGAAAAGAAATAGACTAAATCAATTCATCCAGACTAGGCACGTCCGTTAGATAGCTAGGTACCGCTGAATGTACTGCTCAGATGAGGTCCCTTTAGAAGCCTCATCAGGCCACGTTTACGACGTTGAAGTGACCTATCTCGCAGACACGTCCGTGAGATAGCGATGTACCGCTCAATGTACTGCTCAGACGACGCAGATGGAGAGTGCAAATCCATTTTCCAGCATTTGAATATTTGCTAGACACGTGCTTCAGATAGCGACTTCTATAGGACTATGTTAGTCAATATCTGAGTCTATGCCAGTCTCTCTCTCGTTGGACCAGTGGACGACGGTCAGGTACCTATCTCACAGACACAGCTGTTAGATAGTGACTTTTCGAGCTACGTTACACGGCATAAGCGAGGAAAGTTACGTTACACGGCATAAGCGAGGAAAGTTCAGCAAGAGCAGCAGCACAGGAGCTATAGGGACTACCGTCGCCACGCCGTCCAGAAGCCGCAAACAAAGAACAGCACACTTTTGAGACGTAGGTCTGATTAGTGTCCGAAGTATGGTACTTGTGCTCTTGGAGCCAAGGGGTAGAGTATGATAGGAACGAAATAGAGTAAATAAAATTTGTCCAGACTAGGTGATGAGCATCAATTTCCGCGCTGGAAAGCGGGAGACCACAGAGGGTCTTTGGGGCGGCCGTTGCAGCAGCACGTCAACATGGAGTGGGTGGTGCATGCCAATGGGGTCCAAAAGTTGCGGAGCTTGGAGACATGGCGAACGGGGCAGCCGTGCTTGGCCTTTTGCAGGAGGCTTTCGGCGATGAGGCGCGTAAAAAGGGTAGCTCGTTTGGAAAAGGATTGAGGGCTGTCTTCTGAATCCGTGCGTTTGTGGTTGGTCGTGTGGTAGGTGGCAGAGTGCCAATCCAGTGCAACTCATCGAACTTATGTCGCGCCAATGCTTTTGTTCGGCTTGAGAAATTGGACGATGGATGGTCAGA